CGTTTTTGTGATATTGGACCTCCTTTGTTTCAAGAAGTCTTTTAAAAGTTAAGAAAAAGAGTGTTTTATCAAAGTATCTTCTTATTTCTCCAGCTCCACAATACGTAAAAAACTCAAGGAACGCCTGTGATGCGTAAAGGAATGTGGGTGGGTGTTTTGTTGTTTGTATTAAAAGCATGACTTGTGACATGAGATTTTTCGAGTTTAAGAGTTGGTACATTCCGACGTCGTCAATCACAAAGAGATTACGTAAAAACCAACAAAACGCGCTTTTGCTCCCCTCCGTTCCGCACTCAATCACAAAGTTTTTTGAAAAATTGAGGAATCCGATCTCTTCGAGTTTTTCGACGTATTCGGTTCCCGTGAAAAGCAAGTTATTTCCAGCAATATAAAAAATGATTTTTTCGCATTCATTTCTGGTTGACGCGTCGTTTTCGGTAATCTGCAGATTTTCATAAAGGAACTGGAATTTTGAAATTAAATAGTTCTTAACTTTTTCCGTCTTCTCTCGGGTATCCAGGAGCATGAATCCGATGAGTGCGTCTTTATAAATCTCAGGGTCCCCTGTCTTGACCATTTCGAGTTGGAACTCCGACAACGAGAGAGCCGAGGATTCTGGAATTGGCGGGTCTCCTCTTAACAAATTTTGGAATAAAAAGACGACTGCCCGAATAGTAGGTGCATACGTGGTGTTTTTTGCCAACTGAATCATTCCGACAACGAAATCTTCGTAAATCATATTTCTAAAGATTGGGGGTTCTGAGGCCAAATTAGCCAAGAGCCAGACGACGTGATATTTTGAGATATCTCCGAGGGTTTCCAGAATTTGTTGGAACGAATTGAGGAAATTGCGATGAGATTGGAAGATTGCTTTAGAGAAAGCTGAAGAAACGGACCACTGGATGAGTACATTGAGTGTTGCCACTGTTAATTTTTCACTTGGAGTATTAAGTAAGAGATATAGTATATCGATCATTTCGAATTGAGGAGGGAAACTTTTGAGGACTAAGAGTGCATCTAATAAATCGGGTTCGGAACTATTTTTTGAATAAATAATACTTTTGCTCTGAGCAAATTGTTCGTCGGAATAAAACTGCGAGGAAGGTTTGGTGGGTTCATCGATCACACGTTTGAGAGAAAGAAACTCTTGTCGCCGCTTGGTTCGAAGTTCAGCAGCATGTTGACGGCATTCGACTAGTAAGGGAACTTGTTTTCGAAGGGTTGCCATTGATTTTTTGTTCTCTTCTTTTTCTTGTTTTTCTATGAATTTTATTAAAAGGAACGGATGAATAATCATTTGGATTTAATTATCTTATAGTATATAATCAAAAACTAGAGTAAATAATATAATATAAATGTATTATAATTATAATTTATTTATGGACAGGAAATAATTTATAATTATGTTTTGATTTGAAACCAAATAAATAATGATGTGATTTGACTTTTATTAATTAAAATATACAATTTAAATATAATATTTTATAATTGTATAGTAATTAAAAAAAAAATATTTGAAAAAATTAAAAAATAATTTTATTTTTCAATATAAATTTTAGTTCATTTAAATATGAAACAACTCAAAAATTATATATAAATTAAAAAATATTAAAAATGAAATTAATAAATAACTATTAAAAAAATTTCAAATAAACAAATGATAATTTAATTATATAAAAGATAAAAAAATAATTAAACAATCTTAATAATAATAATGTTAATAATAATGTTCATAATAATTTTATAATTATATTTTATTATACATAATTATTATTTATATAATTATATATAATCTATTTTTTATTAACAATTCAATAATAATAAAATATAAAAAATAAGTAGTTAATTATGAACAACTATTATAAATAGTAACATTTTAAAATATATTAATAAAACAAACTTTGTATTAAATAAAATTATTAAACAAATAATAAATAATAATACTTTCAAAGTGCATCAAATTAAGAATTGAACTAGAAAAGAACCAAATACAAATGGACGAGTTAAATACAACATTTACAGGGACTGAGTTAGAGTCTCATTTTGATAGTTTTATGTACATCGACAGTCGTGGGCTTCCACTGAGTTCGTACGGTTACTTCCCAAAGTCTTCAGCTGGGTTTGCTAAATCAATTTATGATGGCGCAGAACTTCTTTGCAATGGAAAGAACCCCACAGTCACTATCGAAGGAACAAGTGGAATCATTTTTATCACACAAAACAACAACATTACAGTCGCAGCAATCCACAAGAAATGAACCTAACCTTCAATTATTAAAATCTAGTTAATTTACTATTCATTTTACCATTCATCTAATATAATAAATAATAATTAAATTATTATAATTTAAACTATTGAAATATAGAAAATTTGTTTCAATGATATTTTATCATAATATATAGTACCCGTCGAAGGTTCATTCTGTGGTTTAACAATAACATTTTATGAATAACATTTAAAATCACACATCACTACTGTTGGTCTTGAGGAGTGATTTGTGGCTTTGTTCCCCAATCCATTTTGAATAAGACACCATACAATATCAAGAGAAGGACAACAATGCCACAAATAAGGAAAAAACAGTGCCTGTATGTCACTTTTGCACCAACAATCCGACTCACACCATCAATGCTATGATTTGTCATGGACACTAACCCCTCCATCTCAATTGAGGTGGCGTCCGCTTCTTTCGAACTGTCGACGACTTTGTTGCCAAGTATTTTAGAAGCCTAAGTATTAAATTATTTAATTAAATAGGGACAAAAGAAGATTTAATGGGGTGCAACAAACTTTTCTGAGAGCTTGAGTTTTCATCTGAAGGGAGTCAATCTGGTCGTCATTTTCGTTCAATAAAATCTCCTCATTTGAAGGATTTGACATTTTGAAATGAAATCACAGTTTACATCAACAAATTTACAATTATATTTATAATTAAAATACTATAAGTTAAATACTATAAAAATGGTTTATTTATTTAATCAAATAATTATTAAGTATTGTTTTGTCATGATACATGATAAACTATTGTAATTATTATTATTTTAATTACGTAATAATTGTATATAAATGGTATTATATTAATTTTAAATAATAATAATATAAAGGGGATAAAATTTTTTTTAATCTTTTTAACTGCTTACAATCGATTTAATAGTTATAACTAATACCATTATAATAAAAAGTATAATACAAATTACCAACTCGGACAGAAACAGTCTCCACGATGCATATTCAGCCTTCATGGTAAACAGTACTATACATTTTATTATATTAATATTATTTAAATCTATAAAATCAAGTGGAAGCGGTTAAAAAGACCAAAGCGGTTTATTATCCCCCTATAATAAAGTATAGTTGAATTTATTAAACTCAAACGAGATAACATTGAACAAAAATAACACAGACTTAGAAAACTACACAACAAGAATTATGCGTTTTCTCTTCTTTTGTTGGTTCCTCTGATACCAAAGGTTCCACCAAACTGTCAATCATCGTCTTAAAAAATGCAAACGACTTCGGAAGGTCTTTGAGTTCTATGACTTTGTGGATCAACATGTTTTCCACTGCAAATGCGTTCGCTTTGTTATACACACAGTCATCAATGGTATTCCCAAACCCAAGTAAATACTTCGGCGCAGAAGAGTCAGAGTACCGTTCTATTTCTTTCAGCCAGAAATCTAGACATTCCGTCGTTTTCAAGTCGTCGAACAGGTAAACCAGAAAGATGACTGATGTGTTTCTGAAGAACGTCGTTGTGAGGCTTTGGAACATTTTTCTCCCACCTGTTCATTGAGTAATTGTTAATAGTTATTTTATTAATAAAATAACTATTTTATATACTAGTAATAATACGGTAATATAATAGTAAAATACCATTAACGCATAGTATATATTATAGTAATAATTATAATAATAATTAAAGTAATAATTAGATAATAATTGGAGTATATATTATAGTATAATTTACTATTAATGTATGGTATATAATATCGAAGAACAAACACGACTGTGTAAAACTAAAACACACTTTTTGCTCTTTCGAATCGATTAACCACTCCCCTTTGTCGGCTTTTTCGGCGGAAAACTCGTCCATAGCCATTTCTATAAATGTAGTGATGGGTGTTGTGTCTTCGCCTAAAAAAATCATCTTGACTTCTTGAAAAAATACGGACTCACTGATATCCTCAAGGGCAATATCTTTGGGATTGACAGTCGTACTGAGCCCATTTGCTTTTCGAAGCGATTGCAACATTAAACAACTTTTCAGTTCATTAACTTTCATGAAAGAAAGTTATTAATATATTATATTATATTAGGTTTACTAGAAATATTCACAAACAAAAGACTCTTAAGTATTTATTCTTTCTGTCGTTGTTCAATCTCCAGAATTGAAATAATGAAATTCTATTTATTGAAAATATTAATACTATTCAGTATTAGTTATTCAATTATTTAAGCGGTATAATTCTGCTTAAAAGTCCATCGGTCAAAAATATTCAAATTGTGTAAAAACAATCGGGACAATGTTATTGTTATTTAAAAAAAATATAATATAATTACAATTATGTTAGGTTATGCAATTTAATAGAAAAACATGATTTTTGTGTTTATGGTATAAAAAATGCGCTGTTTTTGTGACTAAATAAAAATAAATTAAAAAATAATAGTTTTTTTTGTAAAATATTCTTATTTATTTATAAATGATTTATTTTTATAAACAAGAAAAAAAATTTTATAACAAGTTTAGAAATGAAAACGAATAAATATAATAATTAATAGTATATTATATTATTAATAATACAATATTTTTTTTCTTGTTTTGTCATGTGTAATACAAATTTGTATTATTACGTGATAATTAATTAATTAATAAATTATTTTATTATAAATAAAAGTCATTTTTAATTCCAATTAATAAAAAAATACTTTCTTGTTATACAAATTTGAAAAACATTTGGACCTTTTTTTTTCTCATTTACAAAAAAATAGAACATTATTAATGTAAAACCGTTCTAAACAATAAATTTTTAATTTTAAACAAAATGTGCATAAAAAATATAATTTATAAATTATTATTGAATGATTGTAATTACGAATAATATGTCCATAATAAAAGGATTATTAATAAAAACTTTTAACTTGGAATTTATCTGTAAGTTTTGACACCTTCAACTTAGCAATATTAAATGTGTTGATAATTTATTTTATTTTTTACATTAAAAAATAACAATTTCCATGGTTTTTTCTTAAAAAAAAAATACAAAAAAAAATACAATATTAAAAACAATTATTCATCTTAATAACAATCAAAAAATTTGAAAAATAATTATAATTGACACGTGTTAGCAAATTAAAATAAAAAAGAATAAAAAACCACAAAAAATTATTTAGTTATATTGTTAATTTTTAATAGAAATAACTTTTTTAAATGGTAAAATATTAATAAAAAAACTTTACATATCTAATGATTTTAGATAATCTTTGTTGAAAGAAGATTATAAAAATTTAAATTTCAAAAAATCTATAAATCTTGTGTGAATAAAATCACAATGGAGATAATTACGAAAACAAATAATATATTAAATATAATATTTAACCATTACTTATAGTAATTAAGTATAATTATTATTATAATATATAATATTATTTTACTTTAAAGATGATCACAAACATTTGTTGTTTACTGACAGTAAAAAACATCTATTTGTGTGACAATAAACCAATCAAATGCAAAACCCACAAATAATTATTTTTCTCTGAAACTTTGAATTTAAATACACTCTAATAAAAATTATTGTATTTTTATAATTAAAATACTTTAATATCATTAAAATCTTTCATTTTTATGTATAAAATAGTGAAAAGAATTTACTACACAATTCCATTATCAAAAAACAAATAAATATTTTTTCTCTGTTTAACCCTTCCAATACCAGAAATATACTTGTTATAACACGCATACAGATCAATATAAATTAAAATTTGTAAACTAAAAGTTATTCTAAATTAAACAGTATTCAGTT